GTGTGTGTGGAAGCTATTGCGTGAAAACTCCTTTGCCTCGCGGAGTTAAGGACATGTCAAGCAATTCATCACGTTGGGTATTGATTACTAGTTCTTGTGTAATCCGACTTCTGGGCCCAGTCTCTGCCGCTCTTTGCGATCCTTTTCCCGCTTGCTGCGATGATTTGTGCTGTCACTACCTATACGAGTTTCACCAACATCCAGCACTGATACATAGCTGCAGCTACGCTTTCTTGACTATCGCCGGCTGCAACGACGGCTCGAACTTCCGCCCCCGCACCCCATTCGCCAGAACGTGAATAATGATGCAGCACGGAATTAACATGCCCAATCTTCTGGTAGTCAGAAAGTATCGAGCCTTTCCACCATGCAGCGTTTGCAGGTGCTAGATTTCCTATAGCTGCTACAACATGCTACAACCACTAACCTCCATTGCTAGCACTGGCTTAAGCCGTGCACCCGAAGGAGCAGCTTGCTGCTGCCGCATATTAGGGTTATATTGGCTTAATATTGGGGAAATACTGGGGTAATACTGGGGTTATATTAGGATCATAAATAAAGGGATTATAAAGGAATAATGGAAAACAAAATGGAAACTACTACAATGGTATCATATAATGATTACAAGGTATCTATTGTGGGTTACATAGGAACAAAGGAAAATAAAGTGGAAACTACAAACTTTATAGGTATTATATAGAGCTTGTATTGCTACGGGCGCCAAATGTAGTTTGCCTGCGCCCACTGTGTTAGGCTGCATCCGAAACTTCCAAAACCGGGGCACGCGCAGTGCTTTGGAAGGTTTTGGGTTTATCGAGTAAATACGAATTCCAGCAAATAATCCAACATTTTTTGCCGGAAGCTCACCCTTTGCGTAGATCGTGCCTCGCGAAAGCGCGTTTTAGGATGCTTCCGCAACCTCAAAAACGTCACAGACGCAATGTTTTTAAAGGTTTTGCCTTTATCCAGTGGGTGAGAATTCAGGCAAAAAATCCTGGAGTTCTTGCCAGAATGCATCACCGACTACGGAGATCACACGTCGCGAAAGCAGGTATTACGATACCTCCCAAGTGCAGGATCCTTCCGAAACCTGGCGTCCAAGCCCTCACAGCTGGTGTGGGACTTTTGGAGTTTTACTGGCTCACACCATTTCCCTGGGCAAAGGCAAACTCCAGCAACCCCCAAAGCCTAAACAACCCCAAACCATAAGATAGCGGATTAGATAGGGGACTATATAGGGTTTGCCACTTGCATGGCCGAAGCAGCGCAAAGAACGATCCGGTTGAAGTCCGAAGCTGAAGGATGCCAAGCTCAAACAAACCACGCACCTAGTACAATGTTTCCATTTTCTTGTCCATTATCCCAGCATAACCCCTTTGCGATAGAATTCCTATAGTAGTTTCCATTTTCTTTTCCATGATCCCCATATTACCCCTATATAATAGAAAGCTTCAGCTGGCCCCACCATGCTGGCTTGCACTGCACATTGGCCAGAACATACAGCCACGAAGGTCCAAACCCCACAACTCCAAACTCTAAAACCTAAAGGGCCCCTAACCCTTAACCCTAGACCTCCTAGTAGTAGTAGTAGTAGTACTAGTACTAGTAGTAGTAGTAGTACTAGTACTAGTACTAGTACTAGTACTAGTACTAGTACTACTACTACTACTACTATTATTGTTCTAAGCAATTCTTTCTGGCCTGGGCTGCCACCTGCGCTTGTCGGAGAGCTGCTGGTGCCACAGCTGCAGCCTTTGCTGGGTAACCTGCATGGACTTGGTCGCATGGCTGTTGAAGTCATGCTTCAAAACATGCCTACACCGTGTTGAGGATGACAGATAAAATCGCAGCAGTGCTTCCCATGATGGCACACAAGAACAGACACGGTACATGGATTAAGCTAGATGGAGCTGCACTGCGATCTTTGCCTGCAGCAGGCATGGCAGCCTGCGAGACCAGGATAGCTTTGATTCTATTTCGCCATCAGATTGTAGGAGTCCTGTTGGCGCCTGGACGGGTGACCGTAAGCACGCCAAATTCTAACGTCCATCAAAAACCGCGCACCAGATCAAACATAACGCCAGTTGGACAACAGAAACCCATATGAGCAAAAGGGAAAGGCATGTGAAAAGAAGGCGAAGCCATGAGACGAGAAAGGAAACCGTGGGAGCCCAACATAGACCGCCAAATCCTATATTCCTCACCATGGGGACCCAACAAAACCCTGAGTTTTGCACATCAGCCAAAACATGTCGACAAATATGCCATCCCGAACCATGAGCTGCGCGAAAACTGAGTGGGGGTTTTCTTAAAATGGGGGATCCTTTGTTGCGGGTCCTTATTATTGGGATTATCTTGTTTGGAAGTTTAAGTCCTACTGATGTAAACTACCCAGTGCTAGTCGATTGGCCGTGCGTTTATCAAACGAGCTGGTCTTGACACACACATACATACTATACCTGTAGTAGTTTCCAGTATCCCCTGTATAACCCTAAATAATATGGTAGATCCGATTTTCCTTTCCATTACCCCAATATAACAGCAATATACACATACCAGTGGAGAGTTGATACAGTCTAATCAGCCATGCGTGCCCATAATATGAACGAACACAGTTGGTCTTGGATATCATGCCGGCTACAAGAAGCGCGTGCGAGCGAAATTGACCAAGATAGATGGTGTTCGGGCTCAAAAGACTTCTTCGTAATCAAACGAAACGTATTGGATTACCAAGCTGAAGGTGCCGGAATAGCAAGGATGCATATCTCTCAACATTCTCAACGGCTGGCCATAGGTTTCAATCCAGACCTAAGCATGTTTGGAGCTTTCTTTGGGACCTGTGGAGTTCCGTCTTCGGTTTTGCCAGCTAGTCTGCCTACTGTTGTTAGCTTTGGGTTCTGCAGCCCCGGAGTTTGGTAAAACAATATGCCCTGAAACACTGTTTCACATCTTCTGGTCAAAGCTCTGGACAACGGAAGAATCTGTCGTTTCCAATTCCCGCGACAAAACCTTTTTTGAACATCGATTGCACGAAGATTACTGCCAGAATCTAGCAAGCGCCGCTTCACGCAGAACAACGGAGTGCCCTCCGGCCTAAAGCTCTAAACCTTCCATCTTATTTCCCATTATCCCAATATAACCCCAATACGAACCCAATGGGTACCTGCCTTTGAGCTCACACTCGGATGCATTGGCCGGGCAGGTGCCTTGAGGCCGGCGCATACACCGTTGGGCCAGCTCGCACTGATGTGGGGGGTCGTTAAAAAGGCCCTTGAAGAAAAAAAGAGGCCATTGGGAATACTCTTCCTTAAAAGGAGATCCTAACCATACAAGGAACCTATATTATCCCCTAAACCCTGAACCGCCATTTTGGGGACAGGTATTCTGAACAACCATCACGTGTTTTGGAGGCCGGGGATGATCGGGGATGCAGGATTCCTCTGGCTTCTTTCTAGTATGCAAGTCACCTTTCCTGGGTTGCTGTTAAGGAATTGAATTTAAGTTACTATATAGGGGAATCCATATTAACTACTATATATACCCATTATGGCAACTTATCTTAAGTTCTTTAACAGCAACCCAATTTTTCAAGATGTCTGAACAACTTCCATGGTCTTGCATTCGAAGACCAAAGCATACTCTTGCCCATGAACCGCACTTCCAGCCCAGCTTTGAGAACTTTCTCTACAATTCCCTGTAACAGAAGCATTGCGATAGCCACCATCGTGATGATCATCCTGATCATGAATCCCTATTTCAAGGCCCGAAGCCCTCCTTAAACCCAAAACAATATTGTTTTTCCATGTTGTTTTCCATGCCCTCCCCCTTTCCATGAAGAACCCTAAACCCTAAACCCTAAACATGATGTTCGCCTTGCCTTGCTCGCCACGGCCTTCGCGCGAGCGGATCGCGCCTCTGCAGCGAGGGCTGCGGCTCCCCTGGCAGCCAACGAGGGGGTGTCTCAAAATAGTGATCCTCTACCGACCATAGGGGCATGTCAGACAGGGATGATATTATGGAGACGCTCCTAAGGAATCCTATAAGGATAATTTGAGAAATTTCTCTGTAGATCCCTGACGCATGAACCCTTCTGATCTAAGGTCTTCAAACATGCGCTTCACACTCCAGACAGAGCACATCCCGAAGACTCAACAGCAAAGAGCAACACGCCCCCCCGCAAACTGCAGCAAAACCCAACAAACCACTACCCAACATCTACGCATCCCATGACACTGACATACTCTACATGTCACCACACGTGGTATCATGTGGCTGCAGTCCTAGCTACAGCCGCTCTAACCTGGGCATCTACAGCTCAAGTGCAGGTTGAATTGTCCCCAAGGCGGGTCCATCCACTTAGCATGTCTTCCGTTCCGGCAGCAGTTCTTTCAGCCAGTGCCCGTCCTCCCTTGCCAGTGCATCATTTCATGAAGGATTTATTGGGGAGCACAATGATTTTCCAGAGCCTGAACGCATGCCACAGGAGTTAGGCAGCAGCCAGACATGATTAGGGATCCCCTTTTTGTCACACCACCTTCATCTGGAGTGCTGTTAAGAGACGGGAAATCTTGAATTCAATGAAATCATGATAACCCCTCATATTAAGCCTCCCTGCCCCCGAATATTAAATATTCCCAGTAAACTATAACGTACCACAATGGAGAGTACTTAATATTAGGGGGGTGGGGGATTCAATATTGGGGGATGAGCGGCACATACTTGCGGGGCATAATCACCTGCTTGAATTGATGCATGCAAATGGACGCACAGCATGAGGGAGGTAGAGTACCATATTGTGGTCCGCATAGTGCAGGGTTCATCAATCAACGCCCTGCGTTAGCATCAGCATTAAGCTGACTCATTGGAGCACTACCCGACCGTATGCTACCTTTGAGAACTATTGCTAGATTCGGGCCTCTTACTTCAGGTTGAAATGGGGTTGCTAAGAAAGCACATCATCAGTTGAGGTATGAACCATCAGACGCGCCCCCTTGCCGCACCTCTCTTTCTCATCTGTCACAGGCGCCACAGCCGCTTCTGCCCTACGCAGTTGCTGCTCCTCTACAATGGCCCTGGCACAGGTGAGATCGGCTCCCTTTGGCATGGCTCACCGGATCCCTGCCTGGCTTTCTCAACCTTGGCCTTGCTGTCTTCGAAAGAACGCTTCAGGACCTTGATCTCGTCCACAGTCAGCCTCATGGCGCAAGAGCACAAGCGTGTATTGCAAGTGGTGTGCTGCGTTTCACGGATTGCTTGGCTCCAAACATCTTCTTCCCCTTCTCCCATCCTGTGATGATGACATAATGTGCCATTTTTTTCAGCATGACGCGAAGCAGCATGCAAGGCACCAGGCTCCAGACTCTCGTAATCCTTGCGCACATCCTGTGTGTCATGCGTAGTTGCAAATTACACTCCGTGCAACCTGTGCGACCCATGGCACTATCTCAATTTGTTCGAAGCATCCTCACCTCGAAAGCCTTCTCTGCCTTTGTGATGTCTTGCTTTGCCTCAAGTCGCACTGCTACTCCAACAGCCAGTCTTGAACCTACTCATATGTGGGTTGCAGCTTCTGCCATTACAACTGCTTCTGACTGAGTAATGACGCTTTTCCCCTTGCTGCTCCTGGAACCCGTTGTGTTGGGACCGCGACTCGGCGCACGTGAGCGGGATCTTCCCTGTTGAAAGCAGCCTTGCAATAGCTCTCACACATCCTGCTTGTCAGCAAATCCTGCTACCATCTGCTACCTATGATTTCTATGGGTCTTGACAGCATGCATCGGGTCAACAATTTCAAGGCTTCTGAGCATCTGAGAAAGCAAGCAGCACTGGGGCAAAAGCAAACACAATGCAATAGGCACATATAGAAGCCACACTCTTCTGGTATCTTGTGGTCGACCCCAACGGATGGGCACCAAACGGAAAAAGCTGAATCTCAGCCAAACCCTAAACCCTAAACCTTAAACCCTAAACCCTTTGGCCTCGAGGCCAGTGAGAAGCTCTTGGAGCTTGCCCTTCTTGGCTTCTCCGCCTGAAGATATGGGGCTTTCCCAAAATTAGGGGTACCCTCTTTGGGGGGGTCCCATAATAAGGATTCTAATATATTGGGGTCTATATTGGGGTCCCCCTGTCTCGGGAAACTACAATATTTTGCAAATAATATTTTGCAAGCCAAGCGATTGTGCCATGCACAGGGCTTACAAGAATCACACCAGCACGGCTGTTTTATCAAGCGAGCGTGCTTGCAGCAAGTGCAAGAAGGAAGTGCCCCCTGCCTTTAGAACTATCGTCGATGGACTTGAGCTGTCCCTGCAAAAACCTTAGGCAAACCGGATAAGAAGTCTGGATGCAGCCTCGGCTTACGTGGCATCAGGCTCTTTGGCTATCTTCTTCTCGAAGGATGCCACGCCATCTGTCTTTACAGCCTTCAGAGTCTTTGCGACGTCGCATGCTGTTTCATGCAGTTGTGAGGGCGAGCTTGCAATGCCTGCAGCTGCTCAAACAAAGCTTTCTTGACATCTGTCTCTGTCGAGAGGATTGCAGCCTGAAGGAAAGGATTTGCCCAAACATGCCAAAACTTCAGATCATGAGCCAAGCATGAACCTGCTCGTCGCTGGGGCTCTTTATGCCTTTGACATGTTCGACCTCAGAGAAAGCTTAGCACCTCCAGATCAGGAAGAACTTTCGCAGTTGCAATCCGCCTCCTTCAGCCGAGCGATGAGCCCACACAGTGACAGCTCAGCAATGGCCAGCGGGGCCATGGCGCACGGGAAGAGGATTACCACACTCTGCTCAAACAGTTTCCTGAGTTTGCTCAGCATTCTCAGGCTAAGGGGATTTGCGCTGAACGCTGGCTACTGCAGGAAGCTGCAAGATCCGGAATTCAACCTTGATGGGCCAAAATCGCTTTAGACCACGCAGAATCTGGCACAACAGACACTGCTCTGCCGGCCGCAAGTGCACCGTTTGACAATTTGACTTTGACTCCCGCTTGCAATGCCACTACTGTACAGCTGTGACGAAACCGGTGAGACTTTCCAGTCTTGATTACGGAGCACCGCCCACTCAAGACAGTCTAACATTGAATATGACAAACAGCAACTTGTAGCATTCGACTAGCAAGAGAAACTTGTCAGCCATGAGCCCGCTGCCTGACCTGCAAAAAGGGGTCTTTGCAAGCTTTGCACCTGCACAGCATTATCATAGTCCCGCTGCATTGCCTACCTCTTCTTGTGGAGAGGGCATTGCTCTCCACCTGCAAAAGTTGTTGTCGCAGGGTTTGCGCCTGCTGCTGCCGCTCCTGACTTGCCCGGAGCTTAAGCTCCCAGCCATGCTCGTAATGTCTTCTGTGCTGGGCAAATCCTCCACGTCCTGTAAAGGCTGTACCAGCAATCAGCACACCCACTGACTTTTCTCTTGCTATTGCTGATCCTCGTTTTGATGTGTACCATTTTGCCGGAAACCTGCTGGGGCATTTCTTCCGATTTGGAGCGCACCGCAAGAATTCCCGAGCCTGTCCGCGCAAACAAGTCATCGGGCTCATTGTCGGTCGCAGGCCGAGGCCTCAATGTTGAAGTCAAGTAATCAAACCAAACTTACTTATCGGCTTTAAGCGTTTCTGGGGAGTGGGCTCCAGGATTCTGGTCCCGACCTCTGACAACGGACCCCAGATCTGCGATTGCGAAAGCAAATCCGCATTTTCATGCCTCATGGTACTAGACAGACCATATCAAAACTCCCAAGTGGTACCCATACAACCATCCCAATGCAGCGCCTTTTTTGGAGCTGCAAAGCAAGCCTGAAGGATATCGTACAAGACGCACTATGGGTGAGCGTGCGGGTGGCGGCCTCTGGGAGACTGACGTCGTCTCAGCTGCTTCTTCGTCATTGTGTTCTTTGGGAGTAGCGCGCGATTTCCATGAAGCTTGTTGAAGCTCGTGTACTCAGAGCGCATGGATCGAGCTCGAGCTCTGTCCTTCATCGGGCTTAGTGTTGCCGAGTTTTGACCTGGACCGACCAGAAGTTGATCCACTCGGGCTGGGCTTGCAGTACGAGGATGCGAAGGCAGCAAACCGGATTGAACGGCAACTTCGGAGGATCGCTGACCCCCTCTTCCCAGTAGACAGCTCTGTCTTTCCTTACAGGCACAACATCATGGAAGGTCGAGCATGTTGAGCTGCCATGCCCGGATCCATCACAGCCAGCTACTTGGATCATGCCATTTGCAAGCAAATCCTTGGGGTATGGGTCACAACCAAACTCTGCCAAAAAAGCGTTGACTGCCGTCGGCCTCGGAAATGCCAATGTAACGTGCTGGCCAGCTTGGACATGAGTGGCCCAGAGCCAGCAGCGCTTTGGAGCTTGCTTCTGTTTGGGGCTGGCTGAGAAATCGCAGACGTCCTTACGCTTTGCCGGTTCTCCACCTTCAAAATACAGAAATTTAGTGTCGTAGGTCGGCACAATGGTGAGGTTTCGGGTAACATTGGCCTGGGGATTATCCCACAAGGTCTTGCCAAACTTCGTGTCTTGCAAAACCTGGAAACCTTCGCCCAAAGTGCGAAAGATGCCAACATGTTGGAACAGCGAGCTATGAGCTTTAAAATATTCGATCTTTTTCCCTTGCGTCATGGCCAGCATCCATTGATTTATGAGAATATCGCATGGCATCTGATCGTAAAAAAGTAGCAGGAACTGCGCCAGACGCGTAAGTTCGTTGGAATGGAAATATTTGCCAATGAATCCCAGCTGGGAGAAATCAATCATCCTCCATGGCGCATTTTCTTTGGACTTATAAGTCGGCGGGTAGGAGGATGTCACATACTCATTGATTTTGGAAATCCAATTGCTTGCAAAGTTTATGTCGTCCTCTATCTGCAAGTAGTATGGAGCCAGTGTAGCTGCATAGTACATGAGGAAGGCATAGTCGATGTTCTGTTTGGAACGCCACCTCACCCGACGTGCATCATCTTTGTAAGTACAAGTCGGAGGGCAAACATCCAACGGAGGATAGAACTCCTCTTTGGCGTGCAGGCCATGGAAGTGACCAGTGTTAATCAGATCCTGATACTGCTCCTGGAGCTTGCTACTCGTCCGATTCACCCAAGACATGTCAAAGTCGGCAAAATGAGCCACAATGACCACGCTCTTTCGCTCCTCAGCTGTAATGTGAGTGTCGCCTCTTCGGCCTAGCATGAGGTCTACAGTGTCGAGTACATAGTCCTTTTTGCGCTTGACACTTCCAAAGCCAACAGCCATGGATACGCTCGGAGGTACTTTCGTTCCGAAGACGCGCAACTCGTCGCGCGACACGCTGAATAAGGATGACTCTCTGCTTAGCTGCCTGCTCTCTGGATTTAAAAGCCTTATCGAGTCCATGCTGGTCTGGACGGTCATGGAAGCTGCTTTGGGCGGAGGTGTGGAAGGAGTCGCCGCGATCTTTGCTTTCAGCAACTCCACCTCCTCCTCCAAAGCTTTCACGCGGTTCGTCTTCATCTCCAGCATGGACTTTGTGGCTTGAACTTCTTCCTCCAGGCCGGGTCGGCCAGGTGACTCAGTCGTCACGATTGGGATCACGGTTTGTGTGATGGAGGTGCAAGGCGTGAAAGTTCCTGATGGCACTTGTGTGCTGATCTGCATTTCTGCCGTCCAGTGTAGCAGCATAAGATTCTGGACCAACACGACTACCCCGGCACAGCAGAACATCCTTCGCACCATCCAATCGCCAAGGCGCCGGGTTCCACCAACGGCGACTGGACTTCCTTCCGCCACCATGGCTTGCACATGAAACTACAAGCACACTCTGATGAACCTGCCCCCAATTCAAGAACTACGTCAAGTTGCTGGCAGTAGCGCTTGCGCGGTCTTGCTATCTGCGCCTATGCAGCGACTGCGAGCAAAAACCTGCACAATCATGAGCACGTGTGAAGTTCTTGGCATTAGCGACATGTCTCGTGTTCGAAGGTAACTGAGCTGAGCAGCCTATCAGCTGCGCAGCTCCGTGACTCATGCAATCACCTGGCCTCCTGACGAATGTAATCTCAGTCTCAGACATGCTCCTGTTTTGAGTACGCATGGGCCGGCCAAATCTGGCGAGGAGCCTTCTCAACAATCATGTCATAATGTACTTCATGAAGAGAGGTTGCTGGAAACGCATAGCACGCATGTAGCCAAGCCACGATGTAGGCATCTGCTTCATCAAAACTCTCGCCTCAAAAGTCAAGAAAACGCAAAGGCGATCAATGAATGACAGACTGTTGCAGTCCCCTTGTCCCTTCTGGTCCCGGACCGTTGACTGGTAGCACCTCAGCTTCAGGGTGGAGTGGCCTTGTTCAAAGCCCCACAGCATCCCATAGCTCTTGGAAGGCCAGGCATGCGTGCACGATAGTTTTTGGGGTCACGAGACAAAGACGGAAGTCGTCGATTTGTGCCATGTGAGAATGTTAGGGAACTGAGAAAGAATTAGCCTCCCGCATCTGTTGGTGGCCGCAGTGCTCCAGCACGTGGGTATGCTGCTGTTACGGCAACAGCATTGCCTGGAATCTTCTGATGCTGTCACCCGACGGAATGCCAAAGCGGAAAGCTGCAAGTCACTACCCTCACCTGGTCGCCCATGGAAAGTGCCCTCGTTCTCTGAATCCGACAACCTTTCCGAGAATCAGGCTCAAAGCAGGCACGGCAAGCGCTTCGGCTCAGGTCCGAACTCTGGAAGTTGCGGGTGCTCGCCAGGATCAGGCTCCAAGAAGCTGGCACTCTCCATGGGCCTCGTGAGCCAATCGCTACCCAACGTCCCTAGAGGCTGTCTGGGTGATAAGTCACGCGCTCGGGTGTTTGCGTCGCCAAAGACCTGAAGCTGTTGAATGTCTTAGAGTCTTTGTAGCAAGGCCAACAGCTGGGCCTCTGGCCCCACTAGCGGAATGAAGGTCATGTGGAGGCCTGGAAGCCGCTCTGGCCCCTCTGACCCAGGGCTCGGGGCAACAGTTGACCTAACCAGGCTCAACCACATGCAGCTACGGGCAGCCATGCTGCAAAAATGGTCAGGTTGCAGACCGCGAGGTGCTTCTGGCACCCGGGCGCTTCAGAGTCAACCTGGAATGCAAAACGGCATCTCTCACAGTGAACCACAGAGCTGGATGCAAATCTCTGAGGAGCCAGCGTATCACTTGGTCCGAGCTCCTTAGACACACGATGCGTAGCTGGCAGCGTGCCTACCTCGAGAGCACTCCCCATCTTCTGCTTGTGGCAAGGCTCTCTTTCATCACCTCGTCAGCAGGAACAAAGCTAGAAGTTTTGCCGTCCATTCCCTGTGCACTGTCTGTGTTCTAAGACAGTCGAGAAACCAGGAGTGCAAACGATGCTGTAGTTCAAAGTGACGCCAGCAGCGCTCAGAACCTGTGCATGAACTCTTGCTGAGCTGATGGAGTCAAACGACCTGGAGGGGTGCCAAGGAGGGAAATGGGGGGAGCCAGCTTTTGGACGTGGTATGTTGCGCACAACGTGCGAAGCACAAAGGCCGGATTCACGTCAAGCTTGAGGTTGGAGCGCGCACTTTGAAGCACCAATCAGGTGGCTCTGATGACCTGAGGGGCTTAGCGTTGTGTGCTGCACGACCCCTGCCCAAGTTCGTCCAATCCCAGCCCTTGCAGCACAAAGCTGTTGCATGCATCAGCTCCCAGCCGCGGATTGTTCTTCCGAATCGCCAAGATTTCGAAATGATCCTTTCGGCACGTAGGACTTTGCACTCAACTATGCCCAGATATGCTCAGATGCCCTGTGCCTGCGCCATAATGGAGCC